AAAGAGCACCTCGAAATCTATAAGATTACCAATTTTCAGAATTCCCGGAGTACTGTACCGGCAAGACGACCAAATGACTGGACTATTTGTCCAATTTTGATTACCTAGCATATCTCAAATATATCAAGTATTAACAATACAACGTAAATTTAAAATGTCATTAATTACTATTTATGATTTAAATTATCAAAGATTATTTACGTCATTAATATTTTCTGGCAGATTTTAAAGACATTTTTCATATTATGATTTTTATGCTCTATTGATGTAAAAGTTTTTGAAAAAAAAATATTTTGCATCATTTATGGTAAGCATATTTTGTTTTACCGGAATTACATTTTAAATTTCAGTGATGCCTTTACATAATCAGCGACCATCTAAATTGCATTTAACTGTTTAATTTTGTTTTTATATGTATGTTATGAAATGAACAAAATAAGATTTATTAATGTAGAGATAAAAATAAAATTATTATAAGATATTTTTTCAGAACACATATATTTGTAAATATATTCTAATAGTAATGACACTTTTGAGGACAAAAGTTTTTAAGGGTCGAAGGAAGAAGAGATGGAACTCATTTTTTTAAATTTTTTCTTAATTTTCATAGTTTTCCGAGGACGAAAAACTTTTGAAGAGGGAGGTTGAACTGTAATAACAATTCGAATCATTATTTTGTTTAATAATGTTATATGTAGTATATAAGAGTTAGACAAAAGTTATACAGTCAGTCAAGCTTGGAGTCAGACTCGGAGACAAGCATAAGGTTAATCAGACATAGTGTTCAGTAAAATGTAGTCTTTGCTAATATTATAACCAAAAAGTGATCAACAATTATTGATTGTAAAAATAGTGAATAATAAAAGTATCATTCAAAGAAAGAAGTGTGTTTACAAATTACTATCAAATCGCTGTTCGTCCTAAAGGCCTTTCACACTACCAGTAGACTCTGGAGAGTCCATATCAAAATATAATATTTCAACAACTATTCAACTGTTCATCGCTCGGGTGCAGCCTACCATTACAATTCCTGGTCGTACTGATGATTTAGATAGAACATACGTTCAAAGACATTACCAACTAGCCCAGGACAGTTTAATGTATATATGTATATATATATATATATATATATATATATATATATATCAGGGGCGTAACTACCGCCGTATCAGCCGTATCAAAAATACGGGGCCCCCGAGCCAGGGAGGCCTCCAACGAGCGCTATCAGAGAGCAAAACAACATTTTTTTAAAAAATGGAATAATTTTAACGTAGTTTGCATTTTCGTTTATTATCGAGAGGTATTGAACTTCAACATGTAAGCTAACGCTTTAAGAGAATTTATTTCTGTTGCAATATTTCTGCAAGCTGTAGCAATCAATTCAATTAGTAAAGTTTTTGCACATCCGCTAAGTTAATATTCTTGTCAAAAATCTATAAACCTAATCCAGTTCATTCATTCATCGAAAATTGGAATTTGGAATTTTTATAGTTATATTTATAAAAATTTTATATTTGTTTTTGTTTCTACTTGAATTGTCTGCGTATAGTTAGATTTTGATAAATACTAAATCATTTTCAGATTTCTTTCTTCACTGTTTCAAATTATTAGTTTCATTTCTAAAATTTCACAATATGACAGTAATGACTTATAAAAAAACTAGAATTTCATTAAAAATTAAAATTAAAACATGAAATTCAGTGAATTAGTTTGCTAAAGAAGACGAAATATTTTGCAAAAAAGATGGATTGCAATAACTATTTCAAAGAACACAAGACAAAAGATAATGAAGCGTTATTATGTTGAGTTATTACAAGTTATTATGATGAGTTATAACAAGATGAGAGAATTTTGGACCCGAAACCTTATTTTAATGTGTACTATTATTGCTGTTTGGATATATTAATTCCACAAACCAAGCCAAGATTTCAAAAACTTTGCGACGTAAATAGTAACATTAGTCTTTTTAAAATGGATAATTAATAAACGATTCCGGAACTCTGTCGACTAAAAAAATTCTATAAAAATATCTCATAAGATCATGACCAATTGATGGCTCTAGAAATAGGGTTGAATTCAAAAATCTAAGAAATGTGATGGATGCATTAGGATTGCATCCAGTTTTCCCAACGAAATAACAGCATGCATTTTTTTCTTGGTCCTTTCAGTTACAATCGCAACTGCTAAAAGAAATTTTTGAAAATGAAACTAATTAAAAATTACGAAAAGACTTTAGGACAGAAATGTTTATCAGACCTGTATGTTCCTATTGACAGAAATCTTTATAAAATTTAAAGATAATTAAATAATTTAATTTTTAAAAAAATTCAAGGAAAGTGAATATAGATCTGGAATCATTTGCAAAAAAATCAGAAAATGAAATAAAATTAGATAAATAAATAATAAGAATGATAAATAAATATTCTTTTAATTTTATGTATTTTTATATTTTGTAAAAAAAATTCTTCTTGAGGGGGGGGGCAAACAAATTTTGACACAGGGCCCCGCCAAGCCACGCTACGCACCTGATATATATATCTTATATATAAAAATGGAGCTCTCTTTCAAATGTCTAAGTAAAACTCGAAAACAGCTAAACCGATTTGGCTAGTCTTAGTCTTGTAAAATTCGTGCCAATCCAGAGAAAGTCCAAAAGGTGAGATATTATTCCAAAATCGCGTAGAAACTTTACATTTTTAATTTGAAAATTTTTGTAGAAGCGTAGTTTAAATAAAACAATGGACGGTGGCTAATACGTGAAATGTCAAACGATTTTGACAGATGATGTTCAATTACATTTAATAGGATGTTTTACGTGAATATGATTTAATTATGATTAAATTGTGGTAAGTAGTTTTGTTTGTAGTTTCATTTATATACAAAAACGTTAGCAAACGGGCCGCAAGTGTTACTAGAAACTAACAATCAGCCGCTTTTCTGCAGAACCATTCTTGGACTTCAACAAACATTTTAAAAGAAGAATTGGCCAAATTGGTCCAGGCGTTGTTGAGTTATGGGCTTACCAACACATTTTGCGATTCATTTTTATATATGAAATGGCCTTCCGATCTACCAAACACCTAGCCCAATGTCTGCACGCGCCCTGACGTAGTACGCGGCATACATAATCACGTCATAGTTCATTTTTGTTATTATTTTTGTATTACTGTTTTTATTTTATTTTTATTTTAACTTTTTTCATTTTATATTCAATTTGTAGAAGCGTAATTTAAATAAAACAATGGAAGGTGGCAATTTCGTGAAATGTCAAACGCTTTTGACAGATGTTCAATTACGTTTAATAGGATGTTTTACGCGAATATTATTTATTTATGATAAATTTGTAGTAAGTAGTTTTGTTTGTAGTTTTATTTATATACAAAAACGTTAGTAAACGGGCCGCAAGTGTTACTAGAGACTCAAAATATAAACTTTTTTGATATGTTAATATGAAAATGCACTTTTTGGCATATTTTCTCAAACACGGTGCTGTGAAAGATCTCATTTGTATAATTATATACTCATTGGTATTTATAAAACATTTTCTAGGTTATATTATATTTTATTTATCTTATTTAAATTCAGAGCCTAAATTTGGTATCGATCAAATGGACATTTTGTCGAATAACATTTTTCCAGTTATAATTTCTCAGAATTTATCGCAGAATAGATTGTAATATATGAATGTCCGGGATTAAAAAGGTCCACCACCGATGTGCCAAAAATCAGTAAAGTTAAGCATTGTTTAACAACAATATTTGAAAGTAGAGGAAAAAAGATGTATAGCCAGCTACAAGCTTGATTTGAAAACGATAATCTTTGAAATGGGGGAGATAAACGGTAATCTTTGAAAATCCATAATAAAAGTAGTTTTTTCCGTTGGTAGTTTTAACATTAGTTAAAATGTAATTATTTTGTAAAATACCTTTAAAATTATAATAAGGCTTTAAACCTTTTGCCACCTGCCCGTTACAAGTTACCCCGCATATAGGATAAAAAGGTCTAGATAAAAAATTTTTGAAAGACATCAAAAAAGCACATTTCTACAATGATGAAGTAGAAGTCAGTTTACTGAACGTAGTCAGATAATTGTTCGTTTGATATGTCTTATTTGTTGTGATATAATTGTTATGGTTTTCACAATATAGTTTATATTTGCTCAAAGTCAAATTGGACCTTTGTGTCTCGCCCTGCTCTACATATATACTTTTTATTAAATTTACTTTAATTCATCGAATATAACTTGAAACTTTTCAAAGAGCAGGTCAAAGAAGAAATACTTAATTAATTTTTTATCTCTCCTCGCAAAAATTTGAAAATTTTGTATAAGCTCAGTAGTATTATTTACAATTATACACAAAATCCAGAATCCAAAAAGAATCTGAAAAACTTGAAACGTAATTAATAAGCCGAAAGACCAAAAAAGACTCGGGTTTTATTATATGATGTTTTCTATAGAAAGTGTATAAAACTTGCAGTTTGATTGTATTGACAAAATATAGACAAACTAATGGGGTTTACTGTTTTTATAAAACCTAATTGTATACAGCATTCAAACAACACATCCTTATGCACTTAAAGTATTAATATTTTTGATTCTCTAGAAATGGTTTAGAATATACCTTATTTAGCAAAACAACGTTTGCCGGGTCAGCTAGTATATATATATATATATATATATATATATATATATATATATGTATGTATGTTAACTATGAATAGATGACAGGAATCTAGTAGGCGTTGGATAATATGAAAAACAATAGTATATATAATGCATATAATAGAGAACGTAGTGTAGTTGAGTAAATAAAGTGATCAAGAGAACATTGTGTATTAATGGAGACGATCAGGAAATAAAAATTCCATTAGAGGCAAGTGCTTTAACAAAGACCGCAAGAGTAAAAAGTCCATTAGTGAACAGTCCAATCGTGAAGAGTCCATTAGTGAACAGACCAATCGTGAAGAATCCTGTCGCAATAGTGAAGAGTCTATTAGTGATGAGTCCAATCGTGAATCCTGATGTAATCGTGAAGAGCCCAGTAGTGATGAGTCCAATCGTGAATCCTGATGTAATTGTGAAGAGTCCATTAGTGATGAGTCCAATCGTGAATCTTGTTGTAATCGTGAAGAGCCCAATAGTGAAGAGTCCATTAGTGATGAGTCCAATCGTGAATCCTGATGTAATCGTGAAGAGCCCAATAGTGATGAGTTCAATCGTGAATCCTGTTGTAATCGTGAAGAGCCCAATAGTGAAGAGTCCATTAGTGATGAGCCCAATAGTGAAGAGTCCATTAGTGATGAGTCCAATCGTGAATACTGTTGTAATCGTGAAGAGCCCAATAGTGAAGAGTCCATTAGTGATGAGTCCAATCGTGAATCCTGCTGTAATCGTGAAGAGCCCAATAGTGAAGAGTCTATTAGTGATGAGTCCAATCGTGAATCCTGATGTAATCGTGAAGAGCCCAATAGTGAAGAGTCCATTGGTGATGAGTCCAATCGTGAATCCTGTTGTAATCGTGAAGAGCCTAATAGCGAAGAGTCCAATCGTGAATACTGTTGTAATCGTGAAGAGCTCAATAGTGAAGAGTCCAATCGTGAAGAATCCTATTGTAATTGTGAAGAGTCCATTAGTGAACAGTCGAATCGTGAAAAATCGTGAGGTGAAAAATCGTTATAATCGTGAAGAGCCCAATCGTGAAGAATTCTGTGAAGAGCCCAAGAGTGAAGAGTCCATTAGTGAAGAGTTCAATCGTGAAGAGTCCAGCAGTGAAGAGTCCAATCGTGAAGAGTCGAGTTGCACTTGTGAAGAGTCATCGAGTTGTGAAGAGTCCATTAGCAAAGAGTTCAGTTGTAGAGAAGAGAAAGGAAAATGGATTTCATGCGAGAAGAAATAGAAAGGACTCCAAATATAAAGTGGTAAATATGTAATTGGGAGTGATGGTAACTCGGGAACGACTAAAGGCAATGGAAATGACAAAAGAAATTCGAAAACTACATTCTCGAGGACGAGAATTGATCAGGATAGCCGAATGTTAACTATGAATAGATGACAGGAATCTAGTAGGCGTTGGATAATATGAAAAACAATAGTATATATAATGCATATAATAGAGAACGTAGTGTAGTTGAGTAAATAAAGTGATCAAGAGAACATTGTGTATTAATAGAGACGATCAGAGTTAACATACATATATATATGTATATATATATATATATATATATATATATAATATATATATATGTATACATGTTATATATAAAAATGGAGCTCTCTTTCAAATGTCTAAGTAAAACTCGAAAATGGCTAAACCGATTTGGCCAGTCTTAGTCTTGAGAAATTCGTGCCAATCCAGAGAAAGTCTAAAAGGTGAGAAATTATTTCAAATCCGCGTAGAAACTTTACATTTTTAATTTGAAACGTTTTGGTAAACAGCACTTGATTCAAAATGGCTTCCCACACAATATTATTCAAATGACAGATGTATCGCCTACTCATATATGTCAAATGGTTTTGACCAGTTAAAACAGATTGTGTTATTCTTTTAATTTTAACATTTAATTATTTATATATTTTAATCATGTTAATAAGAATGCTTATTTTGATTTTATATGAGGCTTTTATTTAAATCTCAAGTGTTTGCTCACTGCCTTTTTGTATTCTTTTATCAAGAGCTTGAAATAATACTATTCTTATTGATTAAGGCTTGCTTATGAAAGAATAAATAAATAATTTTGTTTCAAACGCGGTGCTGTGCAAGTACTCATTCGTTTAATGTGAATAATGTGTTACCAAAATATTTTATGAATTATATTATTATTGCATTTAGGTTATTCAAATTGAGATCCTAAATTTGGAATTCATCGAAGGGGACACCATAGACATTTCTGTCTAATCACTTATTACAAGTTATAATAGACAGCGATATGAATAAGAAAATTGGATTATAACACAGATAGAAATTTTAAAAATCATATTCATAAAAATCTTAAGTACAAAATCTTCGGAAACAAAGTTGTTGGAAAATTGTTTATAAAGCTCACATTATGTTACATCCACATAAGTACAGTACAATCTATTTACATAAGTGCAGTACAATCTATTTACAATACAAATTTTTCATTACAATACTATATGGAGTTTTGTAGTTATATGGTCCATGACATTTATATTTTTAGGGTTTGACAAATGTCACAGTTCACAGAAAAATGGAAAGTATCAGCAGTACGAACTTGCATTATATTACATGACTTTATCATCCGAATAGGCTTTCTAATGCATAGAAAGAAGTTTTTCCAGCATTCCAATTTGCAATGAAAAAATTAAAATCGTTAAACATGTCCCACATGATAATAATAGAATTTTTACAGAATATTTCTTATGTTGTTTAGAAACTAATGCTGTTATTCATCGGGTCCTTTCCCAATTACTTCCCGAGCATACTATATAGTGGTCATGGTGATAACAAAGATACCACTTATTTGGATACACAGTTGTAGAAAAGGAAAATCAAAATAAACACATTGAAATTTATCACAATATGTACTCATGTTGAAAATCTGCATATGTTCAAGTAAATTCATAAAGAAGAAATGTCCATTTTATATAGCTTGTGGGTATCTTCCACTATATATTTTTTTTGAAACAACTCAATAATATAATTTAATATTTATTGTATATATACAATTGAGTAATACAGTAGTATATATGATAAGTGTTGTTGCTTGGTCTTGAACCTGGATTTAATCTTCTTCCGGGTGCTAGAGGCTGGTCCGTTCCGAACTGCGGCGAATGCGGTAAAGAGATCGATTACTGTAGGTAGGCCCGTTTTATACTCTGGCCAGCAATCCCCACTAGTTCACTGGCCAGTTGTGCGTCTCACTCTTGCGCGGTATGTTACAGGCGCTATCTTGTAGTATTGAGGTTCATGATAAATTGAGTGCGCCATCTGGTCGCCACATATGCCCCCTGCGGAGACCGGAGGTCATGGCAACCGAAAACGAACCTTACGTCCTGATCTGGTTCTATACGTTGTATCGTTCGTCCTTTCAACATGTAACATATACGCTGGCTTGATGCGATCAATGGTCACCTTAATATTTTGTGTTGCCTTTTGGATTGTGAACGTTTTATCCGATCGGTCTATGACTTTGTATGGTCCGGAATATGGTGGTTGTAGTGATTTCCTTACGGTATCATTCCGAAGAAACATGTGTGTACAAGTTTTTAGATCCTGAAAAATAAAAACCTTTTTTGTTAGAGTGATCGGGTGCTGGATCTCAATTTTGCCATATGTTGTCGGATTCTAGGAACGAAATTTGTTATGTCTTCAGTGGAGGTTTCTGTTCGGGAAGTAGTTACCATATCTCCTGGTAGACTAAGTGGTTCGCCATATGCTAACTCCGCTGGAGATGTTTGTATGTCTGGTTTAAAAACACAGCGCATGCCAAGTAATATTAGTGGGAGTGCCTCTAGCCATGTTGTTCCTTCATAGCACATGATTGCTGCCTTTAATTGTCTGTGAAACCTTTCTATAAGACCGTTTGAACATGGATGATAACTGCATGTCCGGAAGCGTGTTGTGCCAGTTGTATTGTTTAATGCTCTGAACAGTGATGATTCAAATTGTCTTCCTTGATCGGTAGTAATTTTTTTCGGTACTCCAAACCTGGAGATCCAGCACGATAATAAGCCTTGAGTAACTTCTTCTGCCAAGATGCTTTTTAATGGCCACACCTCAGGCCATCTTGTAAACCGATCAGTGACGGTTAAACAATATTTATATGAGTCGGCTGATGGAAGTGGTCCAATAATGTCAATGTGTATATGTGTGAATCTTCCTGACGGCAATGGGATTGATCCAAGTGGCGAATGTACGTGACGGGATATCTTAGCACGTTGACATTGTTGACAGCTACGTGCCCAAGTGCGGCAATCCTTTTGAATAGACGGCCAAACATAACGGGAACTAACCAACTTCGCCGTTGCTCTGATACCAGGATGGCTCAACTGATGTAAAATTTCAAATATTCGTTGTCGTAGTGGACCAGGTACATATGGGCGCTGAGTCGATCTTGTTATGTCGCAGTAAATTTTGATCTCGGAACCGGGGATAGGCACTTGTTGAAGGCGAAGTGCGCTATTACCAGCGATTAGTTGTTTTAGTTCTGGATCATCACGCTGATATTCTGCAATGATCTCGTGGTTGATTTGTTCTTTTGTTGATACCTGATTGATACGGGACAATGTGTCGGCAGTGATGTTTTCGTGACCTGGAATATGCCTAAAATCTGTCGTAAATTGAGAAATAAAATTTAGTTGATTTAATTGGACCGGTGGTAGCTTCTCGCGACGCTGTTGAAATGCAAATGTTAACGGTTTATGGTCGGTAAATATTGTGCAGTGGTGGGCTTCCATAAATTGTCTAAAATGTTGTACAGCCAAATAGACTACTAATAACTCACGGTGAAAAGCTGGCCATGAGCTCTGTCGCGTGAGAAAAATGCTAGTGGTTGCCACTTGTTGTTCACCAGTTGTTGAAGGCAGGCTCCTACAGCTGTTTGAGAGGCATCTGTAAAGAGTCCCAATAAAGCGCCGTGAATTGGGTGATGTAGCAATGTAATTTTACTCAAACTTTCTTTGCAGCATTGAAATGCCTGGTCTAGCTCCGGAGTCCACGTGATTGTTTGATTGCCTCTTATACCTGCCAACGCGTCGTGGAGTGCTGTTTGATGTGATGCTGCATTCGGAATGAAACGACGATAGAAATTTATCATTCCCAAAAATCGTCGAAGTGATTTTACGTTGTCTGGGCGAGGAAAATTCTTTAGATCTTCTATACGTCCAGATGGTGGTTTGGTGCCTGCTGCAGAAATTTCATAACCTAGAAAATAGACTTGCGGGGCACAAAAAGTGCTTTTTGTTTCATTAATTAATATTCCATTATTAGCTAGGCGTACGAATATTACACGTAAATGCTTGCGATGTACTTGTTCATTGTTTGAAAAAACAAAAATGTCGTCAATATAAGCGAAACAAAAATCTAATCCGGTCAATAACTCGTCAATGAAACTTTGAAAAGTTTGTCCAGCATTCCTCAAACCGAAGGACATGAATGGAAATTCGTATAAACCAAAGGGTGTAGATATGGCTGTTTTTGGAATATCTCGTTCTTCGACCGGTATTTGCGTATACGCTTTGACCAAGTCTATCACTGAAAAGATTGTGCATCCTTGTAGATTGGTGGAGAAGTCGTGAATGTGACGAATTTGATACTTGTCTGGTACAGTTCGTGCGTTGAGTGTACGGTAGTCGCCACAAAGCCGCCATCCTCCATCCTTCTTTTCGACTAGATGTAAGGGCGAAGACCATGAACTTTTTGAACGCCGGGCTGTTCCTTCGTGGAGCATTACTTCGAATTCGGCCTTTGCGATCTTGTAACGATCAGGCGCAAGACGTCGTGGACGGCAGGACACTGGTGGGCCTGGTGTTGTGATTATTGAATGTGTTGTTTTGCGCTTTGTTTTGCGACGGTTTGGTTAAATTTGGAAACTCTGCCAATATGTTATGTATTACTGACCTTCTATTTTTAAGAGTTTTTATGCTTTGTTGGGGTGTCTTAAGAGTCACTCCAATTGAACACAAACCTGTGGTTCCGTCCACGATCCTTTTGTTTCGGCAATCTGGCAGTAGTCCGAAGAAGGCTAAGAAGTCGGAGCCTATGATTGGTGAATCCACGTCTGCTACAATAAATTGCCAGCTGAATTGCCAGCCCGAGGTTAAGCCGTAGGTGTTTTGACCGTATGTTTTAATCCGTGTCCCATTGGCTGCTTGCAACTCGTAATTTGTCTTGATACACCTGCGGATGGCCCTCCGAGGATAGCAGGAGACATCTGA